AAGACAATCGACGGACCGTTGAACTTGTCGGCTTCATCGAGGGCCTGGAGGACCTGGGTGTATGAACTATACACCGCAGTCGACGCGACATAGGCATTGCCAAAGTTCATGGCGTACAAGCCAATATCCTTCTTCCTCCGGTTTGCATCAGCCGCGGCGCGCTCGGAATAAGGGGTGGAATCGATGATGAGCATGTTGACGTTTTCACCCGAAGCCAGGACGTGGTGAACGCCAGAGTTGCCGAGATCATACGCCCAGGCGTCGGATCCAACCAGCCACAGCGATTCCTTGCGGAAGAAACTCTTGTTCTCCAGCAACGAGCGAGATAGCCGGCTGTTGTCAATACCAAGAGTCGAGATAACCTTCTCGGCAGCTTCATCGGCCTTCTTTGCATCACCGGCACCGGACACCCAGCTTGCCAAAGCTCGCTTCGGCGCATCGGTCAAAAAGCGACCATTGCTAGCGGCCTCCTTGACCTCGCCAACAAACCTTTGCTTCCGCTCTTTCCTGGCAAGGAGCGCTCCGAACCCATACTCGGGCGTCGCCGAGATGGTCTCCGAGACGCCGGCGTTCTCTTTGTCTAGCGAGTTGGCGATGTAAACACGGCTGCCGAAGAGTTGGTCTAGGATCTTGGTGTAGGCGGTCTCCAGCTTCGGCTTCTCCAGAGCGAACTCACTCGTAGGTTGTGGTTGCTCCCGTCGCCCAATCTCGAGGTTTTGCACAGGCTTCTCCGCGTTGAGATTCTCAAACACCTCTTCGAGGGCTTGACGGGCGTTTTCGCGTGAGATGTAGCCCAACTGATAGCCGACGATAGTTTCCACACCACCTGCACTGCTCTTGATCGAAGTCAGGACGTCGATGAGGAGCGGTCCCCATTTTGTCGTTTTCCTCAGAACCTGCTCGAGAACCGCCACCTTCTTCACCGACCTAGGAATGGCGGCCAGCAACTTGGCTCCGAGCCACGGCCTGTAAAGCCGGGCCGTGATAACACCGGCATTGGCAAACTTGTCACCCGACTGGGCATTCTTGATCAGCCCCGAGAGGAGGGCGGCATCAGCACCAAAAACGAAGAGAGCGCTCTCCGCCTTGGCCGACCCCGTCCACTCGAAAGGACTATATTGCCTCCCGACCAACTCGCTGAGCCGCGCCCAGATGGACGTGACGTACTTGTAGATATCCTCGGAGCTGACGAGGGGCGCGGCTGGCTCAATCGTGGTGGCGGCCGAGACGCTAGATGGGGAGCTTGTCCCACTCAGCTGGCTAGATTTCGACGACACGTGTGATGCGCCTGCCAAGCTGGCAGAATCAATCTCGTTGGCAGGGCTACCAACAGCTCGAACGGCGCCGTTGGTGAGGCGCTCCGGCTGGTCGGCGACAACGGCGACATGTCCGTCATCGGCGTACACGGTGGAGCCGGACAGGGGTGCGGCCTGAAACCGGCGGACACTGTCCAGGTTGAGTAGTTCCCGGACCACGGAAGCATCCCCGGCAACAACTGACCCGGTTCCGGAGGAGCTCGCATCGAAGAAATGGATCACGCCTTTACCGGAGCGAATGGCCAGAGCGTGGGCCGTCAGGGCCATGTCTTGGGCCTCCTGGAGGGACTGGGACTGCAGAAAGGTCCATCCCGAGTTGCGAATCGACGTGATGGCAGAGTAGTCGGGGGAAGATCTCGGCGAGAGCGACACATGGAGGACCACGGGCAGGTTCGCAAGTTTGTAGAGATGCGCAATGGATGGGAGAAGAATTGATGAGGAGGCTGTCACCGAGACAAGACGGCCGGACCTAATCGGCGCAAAGACGGAGAGCAATGGGTCGTTATTGTGTCTGATGGAGACAATCTCGGGCACGGTGTCGGCGCTCTTAGCCACGAGACTGGCATCTTTGCGGGCGGCGTAGCTCTTGAGGTGTTTCGAGAACTCCGACTCGGAGGCCAGCGAGGGCTGCACTGAGACGACCACATCGCTTGAGAGGTAGGCGATTCTCGCCACTAGAACAGACAACAACTTTGTCAGCTCTGTTTTCTGTCATTGCCTCTCTCTTCCAATCTGCACCGGATGCAATTGGCGCATGCTATTGGAGCAATTCGGAGCGAGGCTTGTGATGCAAGCTCTCTCATCCATCGCTTGGCGGGGTATTGAACAAGCAAGCGCAAGGCGGGGGAGGGAACAATCACATACCGGCCTCTTCGGGCGTGCTTGCCCGGACATTCGATTCTTCAGCCATCTTGGGGAGAAGAATGCAAGGAATGAGGTCAGAGGGACAGCAGCATCTCGGAAGAATAACTTTTTTCTAGACCACCATGAACCTTATGTAAGGGTGTCGCCGCGGAGGATAAATCGAGCCAAGTCCCTATATCGGGCCCCGCATGGCAGTCAATTTCTCTTGGTAAAGCGAGCCCTGGGGCGATCACGCCATCGCGCTAACGCATTCTCGCCCAGGTATTGCCAGCGGCCCCAGACCGGCCAGCGAATTGGGGTCGTGGGATTTCATCGTCTCTTTGTCATCCCCAACGGGCCGCAGTTGTGGGGGCTTAACAGATCTTGCGGGTGATGCAGTGCGGTGCTGTTAGTCTCACCCGTGCCGAAACGAGCCCACCACTTCGGTAGCCAACCGTTGACAAACGCCACTTTCCCCGTGAGCAATTTTGGAGACCAGATGATGTGCGAGAAATCCCCGAGCCAACCGGCCATATCCCAGCATGTGGACTTCGCGGTGAGAAAGCCATGAGGATTAGTGATGTGGTAGATCATCCCAATGCTCCGAAAAAATGCAACGCTATGCCTATCCCAACCCGTAAACCTCACCCACCGTCTACAGTCGTGCCTCGAGACGCCAGAGACATTACGCATACAGACCCAAAACCCATGGCACGCCATCCCATCCAAGGACCAGAGTTTGGTCTCGTCACCTCCCTCTGGTTCGGAACTTGGCACCAACAGCTCGCGCCCATTCCTCATCTTCCTTCCGTCCCCCGAGCCAGTACCCTCGCCCAAACCCGATCATGATTCGGCCGATCTTGCCCTTCCAACCCTCGCCGAGCGTAGACCCAACAGCGAACGGATCCGGGGCATCTCCCCTTGCAATCATCGCATCCACGCTCTCTGCTTGCGCATCCCCACTGTATCGTTGTACTACGACCCGCGCATGGGCCAGTACCACCAGACTGAAGTAGATCCGGACAGAGGTAAAAAGCACGGCAAGAACCATGCTCGCCGCCGTATCGGGGTTCGCCGCCCCGCTGTCCGGCTGTCCGTCATCCCGGGTGCTCGGCGATCCAGCCGCCGCCCCGCCCGGACCGGCCGGGTCATGGAACCCGGCCATGTACCATATCGTCGCGAACGCGGTCGTGTAGGCAATATTGGATATCGTGTCGATGACGTAGAGCCACGCGAGCGCCAGGTTCTGGAAGGGGCTCTGCTGTCGGATGTGGGGGATGAGGTAGGCGAGCGCGACAATGACGAGGATCGAGATGGTGTACGAGGTGACTTGTAGGGCCGACGGGGCGTAGCCGGTGAGCAGGGTGAGGAAGCCGTACACGCCCGTCGCCTTGTTGAAGACCAGGGCGAGCGATATCAGCTCCGCGCCTGTCTGCAGGGACATGAGGCCCAGGAAAGTCTATACGAACGACATACGGTGGTTAGCGACACATCAGTGGCTGGCCTGGCCCGGACGGCAAGGCAGGGGAATGATTACTTTAGGGCGCGGTAGCCGAAGCCACGAGCATCCCCTGGATGTCGCCGCCATTTTCTAATCAGTGCCCAGGCGCGCGGGCGATGACAAGGCGTAAAAAAGACCCTTCGTGCAGCGACGTGTCGCAGGAAGTTGAAGTTTTGCTGGAGTGCGACAAAGGCAGGCTGGCGGATCTGGACCTGCGTACGCGGCGGCTGTTCGGAAGAGTCGGCAACATCCCATGCATCCATCCACCACCAGCCTGCTCGGCGGAGTCAAGCCAAGGTCTCGGCGCCGGATCTCAGTGGATGACCGTCAGGAGTCGCAGAACCCCTAATTTGCTTTACTGTTGGATTTTTTCTCCCTTCACCACCGACGACTTCCGACTTCTCAGACGCATCGCGACCTGAGGGCTGAAGAGGTGGCTTGTGCGACATCCCGCCAACCTGAGGAGGGGAGCTGACGTCAGGGAATCGTGGAAGCAAGCGCCAGGGGTAAGCACCTAATTCAGCCCCTGTCTTCCGTAGACCTGACGCTCGAACCGTATTGCAACACCATGAGCCATTCTCCATGGCATTAGGTAGTTTGCGGTCGTAGAGTAACTACAGACTATTAACCTCAGGAGTAACCCAACAAACCCCGCGGTCTGTTTATCCGCTTACACTGAGTCAGTGGCGTTTTGCGGGCGGCTTATTCGATCGAGCAGCGCATCAGATCTCGGTTCGACTGCCGGCAACAAAGCCACGAGTCTTGGCATCGACAGGGTGTAACCCAGCTTCGCGACAGCAAACTTGTACGCAAACTCAATGAATCTTACGCCCGAAGACATAAGACCAATCTCGTTTGTTTAGAGATATTTTGTGTCAGACCTACGAGTTGTGCCAGCTAGAAAGTGGTCCTCTCCCAGGATCAAGAGACAAATCGTGGACACCTGCAATGACCAAATAGACTTGAGGCAACCTGCGTATTGGGTAAAACACATCTCGGCATGTTGATGCAATTGTCCTGGACCTGAGACAGCAGCAAGACTAAGGTACTTGGGACATTGTCTATTGGTAAATCGGCTTTCATCTTCCGATGTCAAATTAAACTAGACAATGTCGGATCCCGCTGATGTATCTGCGATTGTTATGTCGACGTTTGCGCTGGAAGATAAAAGAGTGCCTGGGTAAACTGACTTGGGCTCCTGCCATGCAATGCAGAGCATTCGTCTTCTCTGTGGATGCAGAAGGGGGGCTATATCTCCAGGCAGCCCCCTCTTAAACGCTGGTGGTGGGATGGATGTTGATATACCCACATAAGCCGACGAGAAAACAACAAGAACAACAGGCAAAGTGGCCGAGCGGTCTAAGGCGCCACGTTAAGGTTCATCCTTAATCACTCTCTATTCCTATCGTATTATTACGGGTTATGTAATAGCAGCTCTCCGTGGTCCGAAAGGGCGTGAGTTCGAATCTCACCTTTGTCATTGTATATTTTTGCCTATTCCATCCCATCCCCATTCTAGAATGCCTCTTCATTACTTTTCAGTGGATGCTATATTGGTGCTGTAGGATGACAGCAAAATGGAGTGGAAGCCGGGGGCTTGAGGTATGGATGGGTGTTGTGGGCGGATGTCCGCCCCTTTCTCTTCTTCTTTTGTTTCTTTAGTCGACAGTGACTCGAAGGAACTTTGTATATATGTCCTACTGTCTAAAAGAAATTCCTATGGTTCCTGCATATTTGACATTGATAACCTTTGCCACTAGTAACATAGGATATGAAGAAAATCAGTTAGTTCAAAATCAGTCCATGGGGGACAGGACTCGGAGAGTGCAGTGCTTTCTGAATGAAGTACCTATTGAGTTTCTCGAGTGTTGCCTCGCAGCGGAAGATTCTTTGCCGCCCATAGATCAAGAACCTTTGCTCGTGGGAGTACACAGCTCATAGGCCTGACACATGCTCCAGTCTGGAAAAGGGATTTCAAACAAATGGCACATCGCGTCTCCTTAAACTGAGTAGTTCTAGGAATACCTAGTTAGAAACACAAAAGGCCTGGTGGGAAGACACCAAGCTTTATGAATTTTATTACATTCTTCCCAACGTTACTTTCCAAGTTACACAGTTCATCTCCGTATGATTCCACCTCTCTCGGTCTTTGGACTTTTCGTTCCGGCTTTGTTTCTCACCTAATAAACACCATGTTCTGTCCTGATGAGGTATAAATCAAATATCCCAACATTGTGGCTAGCTGCATGTGAGAACTGCCCGCTTATATTCCCGGAACTCCAAACCAATTTCCGTTCTCAAAGATTGTTGCATGAAACCTGTAACAGAACTGTTAACTGCTCCTATGAAAAGTCTGTACGTGTATACGCAAGTTGTTGCCGAACCAGGAACTCGAGAATGTAATCGACGACAAGAATGTGGTCTGAACACCAAATTTACAATACGCGTCAGGCATTCGCTAAAGCGTGGAAACCTTCTCAGAATCTCACTCGTGGAGTTGTTGCAAGTAAACAATATCTAGTAGGCACAGGTACTGTCATCCAGTCATCTATAGCTGTGCTCGAGTATTGTTGACTACCGGCAACGGCACAGAATTGCTACAAGAGTACTTATGTAGAGCTGACATAAATAATGAGTCAATTGGAACGATCCTTTTGAGATGGCGCCTTGTGTCATGGGAATGTGGGAAATGGTTTCGTCACGAGGGGGTAAGGTAATTGCGGAAGCGCTTAATCCATCAAGAGAACAGATATAAGATCCGTCAAGGGTGTAGACTCAACGAACTCGACGATTCGATCAAATCCCATGAATCACGGACTCGTTAGGATGGTTCATGAAGCCTTCATATTTGTTGACAGGCACCTAGCTACAGTGGACTCGACTTTCACCGTCGATTACCTGAATCCTGTACATCCCGCCTCCATGACGACGTGCCCGAGAGGGGCAGTTCATATCCGTGATGAAATCCGCTACCGTGTCAGAATGCAATGATGTATGTACAGTGTATGGCCGGCCTTGACTAGGCCGAATGCAATGCTTTATCTTGTGTGCCATTCCGTCTAATGCCTCCACGGGCCGAGATAACTGCTTCACTCAGTGGATCCGAGCAGCCATCTTGTCAATGCCCTTGTGGATGGCCTTGTCTGTCCTCTGCGCAACCTTTTCCAGGGGAAGCCGGTGCTCAACTCTCTGGACGGTCCTGGCGACGGGAGGAGTCACCCTCTGGATGCCGCGCTCAACGGGGCTCTTGAAGAATGTGATGTTGCGCTCCCATCGAGGGGCCCACTTGGCAGTCTGGCGAACGATCCGCTCCTCGGCGCCCGGAGCCATGAGGTAGAAGGGGGCGAAGGCGCTGACACCAGCAGCACCGAAGCAGAATACCTCACCACGGGTGGCGGCGGGAATACGGACGGGCATGATGGCGGTGGTGTGTGATTGGAAAGGTTGTGTTCTGCACCGTACAATGGTTAGCCCCATAAGTCCCAAGGTTGGATGTGGAAGATGGCGCGAGGACAACCATTCGGAGGTTGTCGATGACCACGTTCCGAGAGAGGAGCAGGAGGAATCATACCAGGGAAGTCGTGACAGCGAAGCCACGGAGGAACTGAAGGAGAGCGTCGTGATGCGAGGATCGACTGTGTCTGTCTGATAACCAACAACGAAGTGATGGTTGATGCAGAGTTGGAGAAGGCGGCGTGTTACTGAGACGGAAGACGGAAGTTGGAGAAGGACGAAGAGGGAGGGACAGGAAGGCCCCTTTATGGCTGCAATAATGGGCAACCACAATAGTCAGCTCTGGAGGGCAACAGCCCGCAGGGAGGTGCGGCGGTCCCAGAGGACGAGCCAAGCGCAGCTCCCAGCCAGGTGTGCCTGGTGGAAAGCGGGGTAAGTCGTCGCAGCAATGTGCCAAACCAATCACGCGGCAGGGGAGGACGTCAGAGTGCGCTCACAAATGACCCCAGCTGTCAGCGCGGATCGTTTCGTCCACTGACTCGCCATCGTCCCATTGAAGAGGGGAAATGCGGGGAGATGCTGCTGGCCCTGACCATCTCCAACTTGTCCTGTCTTGTGTCAAACATCTCGAGTCCGTTTGAAGGTTTAGATGGCAGCTTCGACAGGCGTTGGAAGCGGAGCGGAGGACATGGCCGCTTGCGACAAAAGGGAAAAGCCCAGTGGGTCGAGCAGGGCGCCATCTCCACTTTCCCCGGACCCACCCCCGCGTCTAGGCGATGTGGAGTGGCAAGGGGACAAGAGGCCCACTCCCCTGTTGTTGACCGCGTGACCGACGCCTGCTCTGTTCTCAATCAGTCTGGGCTTCGTGCTGTTGTCATTCTCATCAGCCGTTGACCGATGCGTTGATGCTCTTCAAGTTTGAGCTTCAGCTTTCCAAGAGCTCCTGTCCCGATGTCGAGTGCAATTGGCCCTGGGGGGTCAATGAGGGACTGACAACGAGCGGTTGAGGGCAGGGTGCCAGCCGTTGCCGACCCGATGACAATCCGCCACGTCTGAGGTCCCCGCCTTGGGAAGACGAACCCAATTGTGTCCATAAATCTCATTGAACAAAAGAAAAACCTCAAGTCCACGATGACAGCGATTATCGGCGTTTGAATAAGGTCTTGAGGTGGTGGAGTCTTGGAGGCGGCCTTGAAGCTTCGTGCTCAAGTGCGGTCTTGGCAATCCCAGCCTGTCTTGCCGGGTCCAAAACGTATGGTGGGTCCGGATGGTTGCCAGAATCAAGACTTGAGATACCTATCCTATCTTAGACGAAGACTCTAGCCAGCTCAAGGTTTGTTCACTTTGTTACAAGACCTGCCTTGGCCGGCACCGGGTGTTGCCTCTTTACATGTACAAGTACATGTATCGCAAAAAAAGATGGACTTAGAACAACAGTCTGTGGCCCGCATGCAGGCTCAGATATGTAGCTCTCGATACGTCGTCCAAAATTTCTAGATTTCTCTCATCCTCACATAACTCTGCCCGTCTTCGCGATTCTCTGGCATCCAGGAATTCAACAATGAAACCAACACTTTCACACCATAACTTTAGCGGTTCTCCAGGAACATTGTTCGAAGCTGTACGGATATCCATGGCGCAAAACACCACCACGCGCACTTCCGACTGAACCTATCTCATTGGAACCTCCGCACCTGCCTCCGCTCGCAAGATCATTTCGGAAAGACTCCCCGTTTTTATCGAGAAGTAAGAGAAGACCATTTGTTTCATAATCATCCGCAGTTGAGCCAGGCATCGTCGCCACAAGGTGGAGTGCACTATACACTACCCTAACCCTGAATCTCAATGCAATCGATAAGCCGATAAGCCCCTCCCCACATTTCCAGTCCCTGACCGCCAATTTTTTCCGAAAATCTGCTGCGAGTCTCGTCGAAAGTTGAACGCGGCGCCTCGACAACCAGCAATCGGGATTCAAGATGCGCGTTGATCCCTGTTTCTTCTGCGGAAGGCCATCATGGCCCAGCAAAGGCATAACATTCATGCGAAATGACGGTACGCCAATTATCCCTTTCCTCGTCGCAAATGAGACCAACAAAATACTGACCCCCGCCACGTACAGGCAAATCCTTTCGTTTCTGCCGGTCAAAATGCCACAAGAACTTCAAGATGAAGCGAAACCCCCGCAAGCTCAAGTGGACCAAGGCCTACCGAAAGAACGCTGGCAAGGAGATGGTGGTGGACAGCACGCTCCAGTTCGCCGCCCGCCGCAATGTGCCCGTGCGCTACGACCGCGAGCTCGTGGCCAAGACGCTCAAGGCCATGGAGCGCATCAGCGAGATCCGCGCCCGCCGCGAGCGCGCCTTCTACAAGAAGCGCATGGCCGGCAAGCGCGCCCGCGAGGTCGCCGTCGCCCGCAAGCTGGTCGCCGAGAACGAGCACCTGCTGCCCCGCCTGCGCGGCAGCGAGAAGCGTCGTCTGGCCGAGCTGGCTGCCGAGCAGGGCATCGACGTCGAGGAGCTGGAGCGGGAGACTCTCGAGGCCGTGCGGACGAGCAAGAAGAGCAAGGCTTTTGGCGGGGAGGTGCGCAGGCTCCGGGTACGGACCGACGGCGGGGTGGAGGAGATCACGGAAAGCACGGGCGGCGGTGTCCACGACGAAGACGACGGGTTCGAGGACGAGGACGAGATGGATACGGACTGAACGGATTGGCATGTACGAGTGCCCCGCGACGGACCACTTCCTGGGCGGCTTCTGGAGGAGTCGGGCGGACGTCAGAGATCCTCAGCGGACGTCTTTTTGGGTTGAGTGTTTTCCTCTCTGTGTGCCCTAGTAGGTGGTTATCCGTCGACTTTTAGGAGCATGAGCGGCGGAAGTTCAGCAATCCAACACAGAAGCTCGGCGAAGGCATCGGGGCAGCATTTCACGGCGGGCACATCTTCAGATTCTTTGCTGAACATCTGGGTCAGGGAATGGCGTAACTGGCGTTAGGTAGATGGAACCTAAAATAGGACATGCGTTACCTTGTCT